TCTTCAGAGGCTTCTTTACTCCCATTACCTGATGCTAAGAATGTACTCTTCTTTGAAGATTTATTTATTTATTTGAGAGAGGGACAGACCAGGTTGGGGGAGGGGGGCAGAGGGAGAGAGAAAGAATCTCAAGTAGACTCCCCCCTAAGCTCAGAGCCCAACGTAAGGCTCAGTCCCACGACCCTGAGATCCTGACCTGAGCCTAAATCAAAAGTTGGACACTTAACCAACTGAGCCACCCAGGTGTCCCAAGAGTGTAGTCTTCTAACTCACCCACCACAAAGATGTATTTATTCATTTGTTCTGAAAAAAATCCTATTGATGTTCCTTCACTCTACAAATGTTGATTGAGCACCTACTGCCAAGCATTCATTACATTAAGTATTGGAGAAACACCAGTGAATGAAGGAGGCTTAATTCCTCCCCTCAGAAAACTCGGAGACCCCACCAGTGGAGAGAGTGGGGCCTTTGATGGGGAAGACAGAGTGCTTCCTAGCACAAGCAACTTCTAAGCAGAAGTCTGGAAGAAGCAGGGGTTACCCCCATGAGGAGGAGGAAAGGAGTGTGCAAAACCCAGGGGGTGCTACAGCAAAGCCTGGAAGCAACACTTTTAAGACATTCAGGACCCTAGACTATTGAGCAGAAGGGGCCCTAAAATGAGATCTAAAGGTAAACTGAGACCAGAGGCTCCAATGTCTTGTAAACCATGTTAAGGAGTTTGTGAGCAATCTACGAATGGTGAGGAACACTGACAGGTTTTCTGTAGCTGGATTACCATGATGAAATTTGCTTCGAGGGATGAACTTTTTGGTTAAGAGCCTGGTTAAGTGGGTATGGGGGGGGCGGTGGGATTACAATGGCAAGTGTGCTGGCCAAATCTAGGAAAGTGGCCCTTGAGCCCGAGAGAAACCAGGAGCGGGCAGTGGAGGTGACTCTCCTGACTTTCTTTGGAAGAAGTTTGCTGTGAGGCGCACAGGGCTGAGGAGGCAGCTAGCTATCAAGGTCCAGAGCTCAGAACAGAGACCTGAGTTGAAAATAATTTAGGGAGGTTTCTTTGTATTATTTTCAGCGCTAAACCAAAAGACAGCATGAAAGCTTGCATTTTTGTTCCATTCTAAGCAAACATGTTAGTTAGAACTACAAAGCTTCCTTGACTGATGGTCCTTGTACACGTGAGTAAATAAGATTTGGCTCCAGATAGCAATTACTACTGGCACCTATTTCTTTCATCTCATGAGACACAATGTAATTGTAAACATCAATCTAGACACCATAGACTTAGCAAAAAAAAAAAAAAGTTTACTTTTTACCTCTGGGGAAAAACTTAAGTTATTTTCCCTTTGTCCTTGTGAATGTCTTACCTGGCTTGCCAAGCCTCATCAATCACATTTGTGAGAAACAGACAGGATCCCATCCCTGCTGTTTGTGGTGAAAGTACCCCCCACCCCGGAAAAGTGTGTTCATTTTTTTAAGCGTGTAAATTCTTTACAAGCGTGTTATTGTTTAATGAGCTAACATAGACTTCTCTGTAGTCAATAGCTTCATCTGTGCCCTCTACTTAAAAGAGTAACACCACAAAGGATACAGAGAATAGTTTGGCTTCCCTTGTAAGTTTCACTGGGCTAAATTAAAAGCTCCTTTGCACTGCTCAGACACACACTATTTGGGTATAACTTACCTTTCCTCTGCAGAGGGAATAAACATGCATTCCGGAGTATCATTAATGTGTCCCGGAGTGGTGAGGAATAACTGCTTTATGGTATTCTCTGGTGCAGGCTGTAGGATACATGACTTTATTAGATTCTTCTCTCATTCAGGTCATAATATCAGCCACCTACTGTGTTCTCCATTAAGACTATGAACTTATACAGCACAGAGCCTATTTGAGATCTGATTACAGAATAAATAGGCTTTTTCTAAAGTACTTGAAGTTGTAATGTGGGTCTCTACAAAACTAATAGGCAAAGGTCTGCAGTGAAATTTTAAGAGAAGCCAAGCTCCTACACAAAAACAAACAAACATGTTGCCGAAGAAAGGGGAGTTAAAATCTTGCTCATAAATGAGAGTAATTTCCCAGAACAAGCCATTCTTCTGGATTCCGTGTAGGTATCCTTCAGCTGTTGGCAGTCTTGGTTTATTTACCTTTTGCTTCCTTTTACTTGCTTATTACCTACACATTAAAATGTTCCAGGAACATCTTGCCATTTATCTTCAGTGATTATAACTCAATTCACTGCTTGAAGGATTTTTAACTCATTTATATTACATGAGATTCTGTCCAAATGGTAACAGTTATAAACAATATTAAAGTTGTAGAGATTTTTGACAAGGTATTGAGAAATTGAAATGATAATAATGATTATTCTTTTCAGTTCTCATTCAACTACACTGAAAAGATAGAGAGGTACTCATGTCTAGCCACTTATTTTTATCTCATATCCTAAGAAACTAGGCGGTTAACAAAAACTGTTTCTTATAAAAACGTTTGAAGTGTGTTTTAAGCTTATATTAATCACTCTAACATTCGCCGCAATGATTACAAATTGATTAATAGATCGATTTCCTAGTTGTCATCAGTGAAGCATAGGAGGGAGAAGAATCACGTAAATCTACCGATTTTCAACAAATTAATTTTAAGGAAATAAATATCTTTTCTAATGCTTCTATTGGTTGCTGTAGTAAAATTGAGAGGTTTAGTATTAAAACTTTTTTCCATTTCCCCTCTTTCTTTCTGCTGGAGGTAACAACATACCATCCAATAAGCAATTATGATAATACTGTTTGTATCAATTCACATAAATCATACTATTTATTGCATTGTCACGTGTGCCAGGCCCTCTCATCTCTCTCTCTTCTCTCTCTCTCCCCCTCTCTGCCACACACACCACACACACACCACACACACACACACGCCTATAAAGCATATATGTCAGACACATAGTTCATGTTCTAATACAGTAACTATTATCATTACTCTATATGCTGATTGACATAATTTTCAGAGTACTACATAGGACTTTTTCCTTATATGAATTACCCATTAAACTATAACATAAAAGTTCTGACACATTGTTGACAAAATGAGTCTAAACACACACGTTTTGCATCAGTTTGTCTCTGATATGTAGCCCATTCGGTGTTTAACAGTCATATTCCCTTACATGATTTAATCTGTCCCACTTCTATATATATCTGTGAGGAGGAGGGAAATCGGAAGATAGGAGGTTCTGTTATATAGATTCTCCCCCTCACCACACTTCATGGCTCTCTCCCATAACTCAGAAACTTAACTTGTACAATGATATGGTTTGCCAGCGATGTGAAGAGACAGAGATCACGTTGGATGCCAATGATCAAGCCTCCATAATAATGTTAAAAGCCTTTGAAAAAACATACAGATGTGCCTGGTTTGGCCATCTGGTCAGAATAAGCATTTTCAGAGTTCTGTCTTCACCTTTGCCCCCTCCTTAGGTGTGAGAAATGTAAGGAATTTATTGGCCTGTATTTGAGGCCTGCCTTGACTAAGGTTAATAAGCTAACACCCTCATCTGTACACACACACTCACTTGCCCTAACACCGACCAAGTTGAAAGGATGAGAAGGAGGTGATGTATGCCCTGGGCAGATTTATCACCCCATGAACCAAAATAGGCAAACAAAATTTCCAAGGTTGGTTTTGTATTATCCAAGAGTTCAGGGGAGCTGCATGCCTTTCATTATGCCCCCCCATATGGAAAAACAAAGAAAACATAATTTTCTAGTTTTAATAAAGGTAATTTATTTGGGTCAGAAAAATAAAGAATTTATGCTCAATTTAAACAGTGCGCAAAATGGATTGCCTTTGGTTGTAAGCCATGATTGTAGGGTTTTGCTTGATTTTTGTGTGTTTAGTGATTCAGTTAGATGCTCTGAGACATGGTGATCGTCTCTTTAAGGGTCTCGTGTTTGAAGAACATTGATGAGCTATATGACTCTTTGAGACTCAGTCCTTTTGAGTCTTGTGAAACCAGACAGAGATGACTATAAAGTCTCAAGTCAAAGGGCTATTATTCTGTGTCTACACTCAAATTAATTTATCCTTGTCAAGGTTTGGTTATAAAACAAACTCACAGTGGGTAAAAATATACCCTCTATATTATTTCTACGCTTTCTTATGGCCTATAAATATTTCAGAGTAAGTTTTTTTATAAGTCAGCCCACGAATTCTCTCTCAGTGTCCCTCGTTATTCAGCTGACTGCTACTGCCCCCGTGACTTGGCAGCTGTCTCACCAGGGAAACTGTCCGTCACAGGAGGAGTCAGAGTGACGATGACTGGATCAATTCATCACCAGTACCAGAGAAAAACAGAGTCTCCAAGACATGTGTCCTGCCTTCATGACTAAGTCCCATCGTTTTCATACATGTTTAAGACAAATCCCTTGGTAGGAGCTTATTTCTCTAGTGGAATCTCAGTTGGTATTAGGCACCCCCAAAACTCTACAGGTAACCTACAGTCATGTCCGGGTCTCCCCAAGGTCTTCAGGACTGGTGATTATAGTTGTTTAGTCTAGTTATGCCAGTAGGTGCTAACTCTGCAGTGGTTATTATAGACCCAAAGACGCTGGATTAAGGCCACATGTAACGGACCAGAAGATGTCCTCATACAAATAGTCTCCAGGTGACGATACAATGAGCAGTCGGACCAAACTTACTGCATTTCAGGCTGTGTGTTTTGTTTCCTTTGGGGGACTATTTTACCAGCTCAGCTGAACAGGAAGTACATTTAGAGCCACTTATAATCTCACAGATGGGGGACACAGTAACTCAAGCCTCAAGACGAGAATGTTCCACGAAGCACTTATCCATAAGTATTTTTGCTTTTCAGCAGAGGTCTTTTGACCTGAAAACTATATAATCTACAGATTAAAGGGATGTTATCTTACTGAAAGGAGAAAATATGATAGAAGGGAGTCAGTAAAAGGAAGCTAACTCTACTCTGGAATTCCATCAGTCTGGCTTGATGCGGAAGAAAACAGTTAACCACCGGGGCACTGTTTCCTTCTTCCCAGAACCTGTCTTCTACTTTGGCGACGTCGAGTACCCCGTGGACGAGAGCGCCGGCTACGCAGAGGTGCGGGTGTGGAGAACAGGCACGGACCTATCCAGGTCTTCCAGTGTCACAGTCAGATCCCGGAAAACGGATCCTCCCTCTGCTGACGGTGAGCGGTTTCCTATGGCAGCTCTTTTGATCGTTCTCCTGGGTTCAGCTCACCTTGACGCAAAATACTTTAAAGCTAAACTACTTCACGCCTGTGAAAGTGGTCTGGATGAATGGAATTATTTTCTGAAATTATTATTATATCGCAGGTAAGTCTAGGCTCTATGTATTACTGTGAGAAAATACATTGAAAAGCCACAAATTGGAGGCTACGTTGCAAACGTGTAAGTCAATGACCCTAAATTCTAATGCCTGTATTTGCATGAATTTGGTTCTCTACACCTGAGTATTATGGCATTGGTATGCACAAGAATGTTCATGCTGGCCACCCTCACAGAAATCTAATGACGTGTAAGTGTCATGCAGATGTGCATCTCCAACTTGGTTCCCTCTTCATTTTAACCAGATGCCCCCATAAACACTTCAGAGCCAAAGGCTTTTTCCACACTTCATTATATAAGCTACCCTAGCCAGGAAGCACTTGCCTTTTATTCTGGGATTTACATCTCCGAAGAGTTGATCATAAAGTTTAGGGTAAGCATAGGATTAGACATTTCCTTTTTTTTCTCTCCTAAATTGCCAACAATGCACCCTTTCTTTCTTATGTGCGCACACACATACATCATATGCCCATCACATACTTATCACACCAAGCAAACGGGGCCCATACCACGTAGTGGAACCAGCATGATGCTTTGCATGTAGTAAGTGTCCAATAAGCATTTGATTCACCAAATTAGTTATTTTTTAAGAAAAATTCAAATCAGAGAAAGAGAGGTGAGAATAAAGATGAAGAAGCAGAGGAAAAGAAAAATACAAGAAGAACCACAAAGAGATACAGGTAGAGATTTTAAAAAATGAATTAAGGGCAGATACACTCATAGATGTATATTCAGAAGTAAAGAGAATGTATATAAAATGAGGGTTAGAAGAACAGAAGGTATGAAAACAAAGAAGCAATAATATCAAACCCTTGTCACCCACTCCCAGTCTTTATGAATGTGGGGCTTAAAAATTGACAGACAGTTTTGTTTGTAACTACTTTAGACATAAATGGAGGTGTCAACACTAGGTTTGCATCCCATGGTCTGAAAAAATAAGCCAAAAATCAAATACGTCTTTGAGAATAAAGGATTGCTCTCCTTGCCTGGCGTGAGTGTGGGCGGATCGTGTGGGACAAAAGCTTATACCTGAAATGTGTTTCTTTAGCCAACAGGCAAACACACACCTAAATAGGATATTCTCTTGTAGCTTTGGAAAATAAATACAGATATTTAACTGATGTTAACAAAATTTAAATGTATATATTTTATAGGTCATTTATGATGATCACATATATGATTCATGTGCTGATTATTTCAGACCTGATTTTTATTAGCTCCCTTCAAGAATTCCAAAATAAAGATAGAGGGATTATATAACCAAAGCTAAACTAACTCATTAGATGTAAATAAAATAAAGTTTCAGATGGTAGACCTTTGTTCTACCATCTTGAAAACCAGTATGATACTAATCCTTTGCATTTCACTGAATGTATTTTTCTGTAATGTTATACTGGTCTCTATATTTTTTTTAAAAAAGAATCATAAATAGATCTATATAATTTGCTTCTCATAATTTAGTTTAGTCAGTCCTCAACTGAGTAATTCTTTTGTTATGCGTATAGCTGGAACAGACTATGTGGGAATCAGTCGGAATTTAGATTTTGCACCTGGAGTCAACATGCAGACTGTTCGTGTTATCATCCTGGATGACCTTGGGCAACCGGTGCTGGAGGGAATTGAGAAATTTGAACTAGTGCTTCGTATGCCTATGAATGCTGCCCTCGGCGAGCCCAGCAAAGCCACAGTGTCCATAAATGATTCTGTCTCGGATTGTGAGTGTTTATTCATTTACAATGATAATTACATTCATAGGCTATTTATATACAGATTAAGTAAAATGATGACCTGCGGTTTATATATGTATATAAGTTTGCTAGGGCTGCCATAAAAAGTCCTATGGACTCAGAAATTCTCGTCTCACAGTGCTGGAGGCTAGAAGTCCAAAGTCAAGGTGTCGGCAGGGTTGGTTCCTTCTGAGGGCTGCATGGGAAGGATCTGTTCCACGCCTTTGTCTTTGGCTTGTAGATACCCATCTTGTCCCTATGGGTCTTTATATCTTCTGTGTGTGTCACAGTGTCTAACTTTCCCCTATTTATAAAGACAGCAGTTCTATTAAGTTAGGGCCCACTCTAAGGACCTCATTTTTACTTGATTACCTCAATAAAGACCATAGCCTCAAACAAGGTCACATTTTCAGGTTGTGGGGGTTAGGACTTTAATCTATGAATTTGGAGGGGAAGCAATTCAACCCATAACAATACCCTGTCAGACCACGTCTTCATTTGTCCTTCTGACCATTTTGATAAAATTAGGCAGTCCTTTCAAATTAAAAAAAAAAAAAAAAA